GTAGTTTCGATATAACAGCACATTATAGTTATGATTGAGCTCAGAATGTTCATATTCCTCATTCTGATCAACAGGTAAGTAAAATTTATTATCTCAGCCCTCGTAAAGTTCATCTTTTTGGTATTCAGAATGAAGCAATAAAAGAACAAATTAATTATGTTCTAGATGAAAATGAACTTTTAGAAAAGGGTCCTAATGGTACACTAAGCATGGTTTTTGATGGAATTAAAAAATTAAACAAAGGTGAGAAGCATTTAAAAATTACTTGTGATAATGCAGGTGGACAAAACAAAAATAGTGTAACTATTTGGTTCTATTTATATTTAGTAATTTGTAATTATTATGAATCTATTGAATTAAACTTTATGATTCCTGGACATACTAAATTTAAATGTGATGGCAGTTTTGGTTTAATCAAAAAACTTTATCGAAAAACAACTGTAGATTGTGTTGATCATATTGTTGAAGTAATAAAAAAATCTAGTATTGCTGGATTAAATAAAACTCAGCGTTATAATGCTGGAAAAGGTTTTCAATATTTAGATATTAAATCTATTTTAGGAGTTTATTTTAAAAAATTACCAGGTATACAAAAATTTCAACATTTTCTTTTTGAAATATCTAACCCTGGTATAGTAAAAGTCCAAGAAATTGCTAATGGATCTTTTTATGAATTTAATTTATTAAAAACCAAAAAAACAAATGTTTTTAAAACTATCAAAGAAATTAAATCTTTATCTATTTTAATACTAACTCCTCCTCCTTTAGATTACAAAAGGCAAGAATATCTTTACCAAAATATTCGTCCATTTGTTAGGGATAAATTTAAAGATATTACTTGTCTTAAGCCAACATAAAATATAATTAGCATTATTGGTATCAGGTCATGACATATCAATCAAATAACCCGATATGCTAATATTTAAAAATCATATGCATATCAAATGTGATAGTGTAACTTCTTTTGACACGTTGGTATAATAAGCATGATTAAATATTTTGAAAAGTCATATGAGTATCCTTCGGACTGGTAAGTTTAAAAAAGATTTAAGTAAAAGGTGTATAACGATATGTGTATACTAACCTATCTTTTTTTTATAGGTTTTTTTTTTTCCTTTGAACGATATTTTGGATGAGTAGGTTATTTGGTTTCGACATTAACTATAAGAAATATTTATTAACTTAGAAATAATGTAATTAGATAGAATTTTATGTAAAATAGTAAAATAATACAATATAATTATGATGACTGACTTGCATTCTTTAATTAAGAAAATTAACCAATAAAAAGGTAAAAAATTAAAAATTATTTGTAATATTAATGATGTTATACAACCTATGAAATCATCATGTCTTTATGGAATTTCTGATAAAACAGTATCTTTTAAAGAATATCACCAAACTTTTTGAGAAAAAAGAGATTATGAGAGTTTTAATGGTGTGTAAGGAGATGATGAAAAAAGCAAAATGATTGAAAAAAATCTTGTAAGGTTTGAAAATTATCAAAAAGAACATGCTAATTTAAGAAAAACAGTTATTGATCCTAATGAATATGAGAAGAAAACTAAAGAACTTGAAAAAAAATATATGGGGGATTGAGATTATCTTTCTAATCGGCCCTTAACTACTATTGCAGAAGATCTTTTAAAATGTTTAAAAGAAGATTTGATTGAAGAACTTGTTTTTGGGATTGCTTCTTGGACTAAAAGAAAGCAAAACCTTCCATCTGTACTTAATTAAGTTAGAATAGATGAATTTAACAAAACCTTTAGACAGTTTCCTCAATGCTTTTTTACTAATGGTGATAATCAAGAAGTTTCTGAATATTGAAAAAGAGCAAAAATTATACGTTCAGATTTTGATATTTGAATTCTTACCTTAGATCCTGGTAATATAAATGAGAAAGCTTTCAAACTTATTTGTGATAATCATGGACCAAATAAAACTTATATCCTTCCTGAATATAAATGTAATAAATGTGTTGCTAATGACTCAAAAAGCATTTATCTAGTAGAAAATAAAATTAGCAATTTAAAAAATGAAGATTTTAAGGTCAAAAATAATTATTATTATAATAATAATGATAATAATAATACAAAAATTAAATTTTGTTTTTTAGGGTTTATTATTCCAATTATTTTATTTGGAATTTATTATACAATAAGAAAACTTAAACAAATTTAAATGTGTTTACTTTGTCTGGTTTTGTTGCAGTATACCCTATATAAAAGATAAAAGGTTTGTCTGTTACATGATAAAATTTATCATAAAATGAGAAACCTTTATATATATTTAATATCTATAAAAATAATCTATTAAAAGAATACGTTATCGTAAAAAAACTTAGTTTTATAAAATTAATATTCTTACTTTTAGGTTACCAAATCTGCAGTTCATTTGCAATAGTAAAATTTTTAACAATTGAACCACCTTTCATAAGATCTTTCATAATACTTCCTATTTACATGATTAATGAAGATGATAAAAATCTATACTATAATAACACTATAATGAAATATATATTATGATCATAAACTTCTAAATTTAATAACTTTACATATCCTTAATATTTTGAAAAATATTCAATTACGTTCTTATCATTACTCACAACTTCTTGTATAATTTATTATAATAAATTAAATAATTATGTTATTAAATGATTAAAAGATATAATAGTAAAATATTGATTTCTTAAAATTGAAGATAGTAAACTTTATTTTTATCAACAAATACTTTTAAATGTATTAATAAGGTTTAAATCTAATTATAAAATTAGATCAAATAGTATTTACTATGAAAAAATTTTATCTTTATATCTAAACTTTTAACTAATTTATATAATCAGACTATAAATATATGGGGTCTTTGCAATAGAAAGGGAGGAAATTCCAAAAAAATTAAAATTTTAGTTTATAAGCCAAAAATGTTCTAAATACTATAATTTGTTCAGATTTATTATTAACTCATTTTTTATTTTTTTTTGAGTTTCTTCCCTTTCTATTGCAAAGGCCTCATATATTATTTATGAATAATATTTTTAAATAATCAATTTATATTAATGTTAGATTATTACTTTTATTAAGAACTCAGCATTCTACTACCCTTTCTGATATCATCTGAACTCAAATAGATCATTAAAATCCTTTCTTGCATCTATTCAGAAATTATTATACTTGAATTTTCTTATAATTAATATTATATATTATTAACCATCAATATGTATTTAGATAAAAATAATAATGGTATTTCTAGGTAGCCATACTTTTTTATAACTAGATTTGCAGATACTAGTAAATCATATATTATTAATATAATATTAAATAATTTTATCTGAAAATAATAGACTTATCTTTTACTAGCTTTGATTAAAATAGCAGTACAAAATATAGAAGGTATAACTATTCATTCAAAATTACAAATCACTTTCACATAAGAAAATTTTCACACTTGTGCTTATATAAATAATAAACTAAGATCATCTTTAATAAAAGTAGAAACTATAATTATTGAAGAAATTTCTATGGTCTCTGTTGAACTTCTTAAATATATTTGCTAACCTTTATAGTAATACTTTAACATTTGGCAGAATAAATGTTATACAGTAAAAGATCTTGTTCAATTATATCCAGTCATTAATTAATTTGTATTTCATGCTTCAGTCTAAAAACTATTTATTCATTATTCTTAAAAATCTCACAATGTTAAAATAGTGATGAAGAATTTATTAAATGTTAGAAAAAATATATATGAATAATCTTTCATAGGAAACATGAAATAAATTCAACAACGTCACTCATAATTTTAACTTAATTACCATTTAATATATTATTAAATGCTATTCATATTGTAAGTTTTAAAGCAAATGCTGATTTGATTAATAGAATAATATGTAACTCTTTTTTGTTCAAGAAGATAAATCTTAATTTCATAAGTTATAGACTTTATAAATGATAAATAATGGATTCTCTCACAATCAAATCAAATATTTAAACAAAAAATAAACCTACCATCATCTGTCCACTTACAACCAGCTGTATGTATTATATTTCTCAATATTCTCTTATTAATTATAGTATATGCAATAATACAATAAGTGTAATTATCAATACAAACCCTTCAGATGAATAGATATAAGTTGATATAAGTTGTTTTCTCTGTAAAAAGATCAATCGTTGATATAGATATTTATAAACAAACTCCTTACTTTGAAACTTATGAATATAATTGCTGCTGTATACAATTTTCTTTACAAAATTGCTTTGCACTTACTGTTTATAAAACTTAAGGACTAATTTTACCAAAAACATACATAACTTTAGATGGAAATATCTTTTATTCAGATTAAGCATATATTGCACTTAGCATATGTTTCTCCTAAAATAATATAAAAATATCTCATCTTGATATATCAGCCTTTAAAACTGATTAAGATATGATTCTAAAATATCAAAGATTAGAAAATATTTCTTAAACTAGATCACATATATTTTCTTAATCAAAAACATTACTTTTAAATAAAATTTAATCCTTATTTAAACCATAATTAATTAATAATTTTAAAAATTACAAACAAACAAAATAAATTAAGCTAATATAAAAAAAAAATATCATTTCCAAAAAAAAATCATATTATAACTATAATATGCTTTATACTTATCAAAAAAAAAAAAATACTAGCTAGTTTAAAGAATAAAGTCTCGGTTATTTTTTACCCTTTATATGTTTTTGAATAATATATAAATTTTTATAAAAGTGATTTTTAACTAAAGGTTTAATGTTTAATTTATAAAATTAGACTTTATTACATTATAATACTTTTAATAGTGTGATATTATTAAATATAATATTAATTATTTTATTCTTGTTTACTTGATGATTTCTTATAAAGTCTTATAGCATTTTTTATGAATTCTTTTTCTTGCAAATACCTAAAAAATGATAAATAGTTATAGTTAATTATGGAAAGAAAAAAATTATTAACAAATAAATAATAGGAATAGTTACGTTATTCCAGCAACAAGGATGGCACAAACACCGCCAATTGCAATATGTTTAATCTTTGCGTCCAAGGTTTCCCAACCAATAAATTGATTAGAAAAGTAAGTTATAATCCATGCCAAACCAAATGATATTAATACTAAAGGTTTAGGTAATAAATTTGATACAGATAACATTCTTTTCAATTCATCCATCTCCTGTTTATTACCACCACGATCTTTTAAAAAATATGATTTAATAAAATTCCAACTCCATACAATACGTGTTGATAAATTAAACATATTAGCTGCAATTAATCCAACAGCACCGGCAGATAATCCTTTCATAAATATGATACCAGCTCCAACAAATCCTGCTGAAAATGCAATCAACCAGTAATTTAAAACACTTAATGTTTCTTCCGTTGCAACTGCTGCTACAAATGCTTCAGTTATTCCATTAATACCCATAATTGGAACATATATACAATAAATTGATAATGCAAATGGTGCAAGTGATTTTGACCATACAGGACCTACAAACAAGTCAATTAAAGTTCCTGTATAATTTGTTGCCAATCCAATAAAGAGAAGTCCAAGTAAAAGATGAAATTTCATCAATACTAATAGAACTTGTAAAGAGGTTGTTAATACTATTTTACGAGCTGCAGCTTTTGATTCACTTTTTTCAATATTGTTATCAATATCATTAGGATTATCAACAATCGTTAAGAGTTTGGAGAATAGTGTACGACCAGTTTCTTCTAATGGTTGAAAGAATATTCGTACAATCAATGATCCTAAACATAAAATAAAATAATTTGAATACTTACTTTTATTTAAAAAAAAAAAAAAATAAATAAAAATAAATAATAAAAGGTTTTGCAATTGAATTTTTTTTACTTGCCGTAATTAACAACAAATGCATAAATTCCTTGGTCAGCTGACTCACTAAGCCACGCAATTAACATTTTATCACCTTCCGTTAAAACATGTTTCAACAAAGATTGTTTTGTAAATGTTTTTGCCAAACCAAATAAATGTTCATCAAACCAGAATACCCCTTGCCTTTAAATATGAAACGTATTATTAGTAAAAGGTTAAAATAAGTTTTGAAAAGCAGGAATTAAAAATCACCTTTCATCTTTTAATTTTCGTGGTTTTAGTAATTGAATATCCCAATTTGAAATAAAATACCCAACATAACCTATCAGTAAAACCAACATAAAAGCGAACTGAGCAACTGCAAATGCCAAAATTCCATAAGCATTCTTTCCTTTTTCATTATTTTTTGGAATTCCCATTAGTGTCATTGTGAGTGTGATAACGCAACGAACAACAACTCCAACCATTTCACAACGTACTCTAAGAGTGAAGATCAGATTATTCATTGTTGCGATATACAATGGTTCAATGATCAATTCACCAAATGCTGCTAAACCATATAATACTACAGAAGTAACATAATATGGTGTGGCTAATGATTCCTCTGTCGCATAAAAGATATAAAAAACGCAAGCAAGAAATGTTGTGATAATTCCAATTGGGATTGGTACATATGATAAATTTGTTATTTTTTGAATAGACCCAGCAGGAGAATTGCCAAATATTATCGAATCCTTTGATTTTCCTTGTAAATTTTCATCATGATCAACTTCACTGACATCACCGCTTCCTCTTAACAGAGCACAACGAAATCCTTCACGGGATAAAAACAAGATTGTTGCTAACAATAATTCTAATTGTACAGATGCAATTCCAAATGTTGCAGGGTCTGTATAACGTAAAACAATTTGATGCAAAACAAAAGTAGCCAATCTACTTATAAGTTGTAGCATAACAAGTGATGAAGCCCCTGCTACAGATGATGATAAAATTTTAGATACATCTCCTTGTGATTCTGATTCTGATTTATTTTCAATTATTTCGTTATCTTTTTCATTAGAATTTTCTTTGACATGCCTACTCTTTATGGTTGACATTTTTTTTTATTTTTTATTTATTTATTTTTTAAAGAAAAAAAAAAAGTTTCGAACTTTTTATAACAAATTTTTTAACCATATTGCGCAAAATTACGTCAATTATATAATTACATCATATGCATCGATCAACTAATAATTTTAATTTTGTACCACAAACTTTTTTCGGAAAGTTGTTCGTCAATATGAAGTCAAGAAGATTCGTCAGTAATCTTTGATTTTGTAAGCGAGTATTATTTGGAAAAAGGTTGGCGTTTTGACGAGGATTGAAAAAATTAAACTTTACTTGAAGATAACTGTTAATGATTATCGTTATAGTATTTATCTCGAGATTGAAGATTTTTAATTTCATCTCACTTGTATTAGGAAAAAAATGATTTACGATTTTAATTCCTTGTATGTCTAAAATGATCATGTGCCAATTATTTCAGTATTTTGATGATCGAAACTCAAAATATTGTAACACGAAATTAAAGTTTTTTTAACCCTTAACCTAATTTATCTTCGCAAATTTAACTGTCACAAAGGTACCTCCATAGTAAATTATTATTCTCTGGTTTATCAAACAATAAACTTGTCAGAATTTCAATTTATTAAACGTAAACGAGTTATCGAAAACATGGCTAATTCAATACGCTTATTTTTATTATTATGTTTGATCATTTTTAACGTTAATTCTTATAGAATTATTAAGTACGAAGATGAAACGGATGCGGCTATTATTTCTAGAACTCTTGTAAAAGAATTTGGTATTGGCACATTGGTTACTATCATGAATGATCACGAAGATGATGATGTTCGAGGTACGTTAAAAAAACGACAAAGCTATGTTTACGAGAAATAAATTCTTTCTTTATACAAATTTATCATTTATAATTTATCAAGGATATCCTTTTGGATTGTTGGATTATTTCTCTGATGATTGTCCTTCAACAGGAAATCCATTACTTCTTTTAAGTGACTATCAGGTATAATATATCTTTTTTTTCAATTTAAAAACAAAAGACAAAAATTATGTTAAAATAACGTGTTATAATTTTTTAGAAAAATATTAAAAATGCTAGATCAAATGAATGGAAAGCTTCCTTAATGATTCGCAAGCTTAGCAAGGACGATACTTTTTTTCCCGTTGCTGAACCAAGAATTAATTTATTTGGTCATTTGGAAAGAGTACCTGATGATGAAGTATATATCTTTTGATTTCCAATTATTCTCATTAATCTACAAACATTTTAATTGAAAATTTTTGTTTATAGGTTGCAGATGCACAAAAATGCTTTTTAGCAAAACATCCAAGGGCCCGTTTTTGGTAAATATTCATTTTATATTTTGCTTTTTTTCCTTACCAAAGCCAAGTATAGAATTCATTTGTTATATTTTTAGGATCCCTGGTGTAGGTCACGAATTCTATTTCTATAGATTTATCGTACACAATATTTATTTTGTTGGTGGATTTGGTAATAAACATTATATCGGTTATATTAATAATGAATTATATCACAAAGTTAAACCCGAAAGCAATCATCATACTCATCATTGTGGTAGGAAAGTTGAGAAAGATTATAGTTTGGTGAATATGCAATATTATTAAATATCATTAAATAGTGGTTCATCGTTTTTAATTTCTCGTCACGTGGGTTAACTCCGGCCTGAGAATTTCAAATATATATATAAATATATATAAGTTTAAATATAATAAAAATTTAAAAAAAAATTTTAAAAAAAAAGACTTCTTTCTTAATTACGTCCAAGTAATCTTTTTTTTATGATATTATTACTTATCAAAGTTTAACTTATTCAATCCTTTGTTCCTTCTTTATAACCGAGTGTTTAAGTAATTGTCCTTTTGACGCGAAGGAAATGCGTTTTTACGTGTTTATTTCATTTATCTCCCTTTGATTTTTTTTTTTTTTTTGACTTCTTTAAAAATGATTGACGAAATTATTGTATACTGCCTGGAGGAAATTGCAATGGAAGGAGGTTCGTGTTCGTAAAAGTTTATTTACTTGTTAAAACTATTATTTATATTCATAATAATTTGATAATTCTTTTCTCGGAAAAAGGCTGTGAGATCGATTATTTATGGGTATTTGTACAAGATTTTCTTAATAAACGGTGTAATGAATTGGTGGCATTTGATGAACCAGAGATAATAAAACCGACGATTGATGATGCATATAAAGAATTCTTTTGGACACAATTCTCAACTAGTGAACAATTGTTATTTTGTATCCAAAAAAAAGTTACGTTGGAACAAAATCTAGAGACTCCGAAAAAGGGAAAAAAGAATGCGACTTCAGCATCTAAACCAGTAAATAGTTTCTTTTTTCATGATCAAGGTCTTTCTTGCATTATATGATGAAATTTATCGTTTTAATATATGAATAGACTGAAGAACAATATCAGACTGTTAAAATTGACAATAGCATGTCTCTTCAAAGAATTAAAACAATATATGGTGATGGATTTCGTATAATGACGACAGAGAAATTCCAAAAAGAAATACTTTTTGCAACAGTTGACGTATGTATATAAAAGAATTCTTATTATTATAAATCTCACAGTACATATGAAAACATTATAATTTTTATAGACTTCTCGCTCACTTTCCAATCAAGTTTGGAAGACACTGCAGTACATAGCAAGGCATCGTTCTATGGGTGCTACGCAAGTAGATATGGCGAGACACTTTAATATCGAACCCAAGTCTTTCTCACATTATTTAAAAACCCTTTGTAACTTAAAATTAATGTAGGAGAATTCGTTGTAATTGTTTTTATAATTTTAAAAATTAATTTAAATATCATGTTATTTTTGTAGAGTAAAATTAAAGGTTACTCAGAATGGGATACAGACAAATTTGTGCATCTTGTCTAGATGCGCTGCTCAAAATAAAGCGTATGTCGGAAAATCTGTATATATACCCACAGCATCCAACTTACAATCTGAAGATCCTGACTTTACGGATGCAATCGGTGGTGACGTTTCCTTCAATTCTGAATTGGTGAAGATCAGATTGACCGAGATTCTTAGTAAAGCTAAGAATCAGATCATGTCCGCAAACGATATAAGGATGGCTTTAGTAGGTTATAGATTGTTAAATTACTGCGATTATATATTAAGACCATATTTAACTTTTAATTTTTATCTAGTTTGCGATATCGAATCCAACAAAGAATCAACGACGCTGGTTTAATAACAGGATTGATGATTTAACGCAACATGGATACGTCGAGAAAGTGAACGTTCCAAAAAAATCCATGGATGGACGAATGGAACGATGTTTCAGGCTTGTTAAGATGTATATGAAAGGCAGTAACAACAATAATGGTAGGTTTGATTCATATTTTGAAATTTAATTGGTTTTATTATCTTTTCTTATTAATGAAAATTATTAGACAAACGTAGGAATAAATCCTCCATTGTAAATACACCAGAATCCGTGACATCTGCAGAATCTAATGAAAAGCCACTACAATCTGGTATTTTTGTCGACTTGCCTCTAGATTATCAAGTGTATCGTTTAATCCAAATGTCTGGTGAACGAGGATTAACTGCTGGGGTACGTCTCTCAATTATTGTCATCAATTTTAATTATTCTTATTATTTTTCATATTTCTCATTTAGTTTGCGTTATCTTATTTGATTTAAGGATCTTCAATGTCTGCTTCGTAATATAAACGATCGTGTCCTAAACAAGTCTTTAACGGGGCTTATCATTGATTTGCCTCCTGGATTAAAGCGGTTTATTATTAAACGTGCTGTTGAGTGTAAAGGACGAGAGCGACACTATCGTTATTTTTCGAGCGAAAGTTACATGAAATTTGCCGCATCACATGGTTTAAATTTAGAGGACATAAATCAGGATAATCCTGATGATGATCAAAAGTCAGAGTATACACATGACCCTCTATGGGGAATCGAACTATTACAAGATGGTGAAGAAAAAAACGACGATTTCTTAGCTAGTTTGAGTACTAGAGAAAGACGTAGAAGAAAGAAAAATCGAGAAAGAGGAATAATTGAACCACCTAAATTGATTGCAACCGTACGAAAGAAAAGAGGACGACCGAGAAAGTATGGTTCTGATGGAGAATTAATTTCCAAAAACGAGGCTCAAAAAGGTGTTAACGAAAAGCAAATAGTAAACGAGACTTCTCATGATACAAAGAAGCGCGGTCGTCCACGAATGACTAAAAATAGACCTGGAAAGAAGGTAAAGGTCGAAGAAGCTGAGCCATTGGATGACAAGTCAAATTTAGCACAAGAACAATTATCCACTCTGATTACTGAGGAAACGTCTGAAGACGTCGAACCAACATGTAACCAAAGGGTACCTAACCTTATAATTCCTGTATCTGACGTTGAAGGTAACATAGATATCGGTGACCCTATTCCAGGCGAAGAGTCTTCAAGAAATGTTGTATTACAGTCTAAAGGGAATAGTATCAAAGTATGGATCGATGATCCCAACATTTCAGATATTTATGGCTCGATTCTAGATTTAAACTCCTCTAATCAGGAGGTTACTTTGGATGATGAAGTTGACATGATGGAAATTGATGTCAATTCAGTAATTCAAAATGAAAATTTACAAAAATTTAACAATTTATCCATCAAACAACAAAATATTAATTCGGGTGCTATAGGATCTGTCTGTGTGTATAATCAAGAATCACATATTGAAAATTTAGTCCGACAGTTACAATATGGTGAATCAAGATCTGACAATAATGCTTTCGAGACAAATTTGGAATCACCTACCGGCTCTGTCTCAACAAGGGTTATTGAAAGTTCATATGAAAAAACCTTACAGAATGTTAAGAAAATACCTAAACCTAAAAAAAGAGTCACCCCTGTAGTTTCTATCACTGCATCATTTCGAGAAAAGATTATAGAAAAGCTCTTGGAGGAATATAAAGTACTAGAATGTGGTGCAATGCTTATTGGTGTGTATCAAGATAAGGTTCGAGAATATTATAATGGTACGACTCCACATACAATTGATAAGAAGACTTTAGCTCGCACTGGAAACGCGATGGAAAGGAAAGGACTTTTAAGACAATACAATGTGGTATTGCCATCTTTGAACGGTAAAGATCAAGTTAAACTTTTATTCCTTCATCCTGATTTGGAACCCGGTGATCCCAAGGTGAAGGAATATGTCACTAAATTACAAGACAAAGCTTTACTTGTTGGTAGATCTTATAGGGCCACTAAAATTGAGGAGATAGATATTGAAGTAGAGCCGCTTTCGGAGCTACAGAAACGTATGGCTGCTGAGGCAGCTGCTAATAATTCTGTAAATCCTCTAAGCACTTCACTTACTTCAATTCCACAACAAACCATCTATGATAAGCTTATGTCCTCAATGCCAACAATGGAATCGGTTAATTCAAATGTTGAAAATCAGCCTAATATCAATGAGAAATTACCTAACGACATGTGTTGGTTACATTGCGCTCGTGGGTATGGCTGGATTAATGCTAAGATGATTCGAGCAAAAATCTTGCATCAATATTTTTTCAACAAAATCAATGACGCAAGCCCAGATGATCCTTGTATTATGAAAGAAAGTAGAATTTTCCAGACAGCAATTCTTCTCAGAGATCTTCCCCTTGATTTATATCTTAAGCTTGTTGGACAATTTTCACCGAGTACCAAATTGTCTGAATATATAAAATCAGGAGAAAGTATGTTGCGTAGCGTCATTAATCTCCCATGTGACCTTAGGTTGGAAATTTTTACCGGAAATTATAAATTCCGACAGAACCTTAAAAGGTTGATTGACATTCTCGTGGCACTAAAGTTAATTAAAAAACTTAAACGTACATTTGATGAAAGAGGAAATCCAATTTTAAATCTTAAAAGGGCCTTTATTCCGGATGACGTAGTTGAAGTTGATTCAACAAGAACATCGGTATACGATAGTCAACCACAAAATCTTTTAGCGCCTGCATATCAACTTATGCGTGATGTTCCAATGATGGACTTTTCCGTTCCCGGACCGGATAGACCTATTATTAGAGAGTATATGCTTGATACTATCGAGGATGTTTCGGTTTATTGGAGTGAGTTACAATACGTAGCTCAGAAAAAATTTTCCGAATCAACGTATAAGAGTGAAGAAGAAAATGTTAATTCGGATTCGGATCAAGTGGATAGTGAGGAAGAGAATATGCCTGTGCGCGGAAAGAAAAGAGCCTCTAATGGTAACGATGATCCTTTACGATTCATAACTATCGCACGTAATTGGAATTCTGGTTTTCCACTTAATGGCAAGCAAAAAAAGCAGCTTGAGCTCTATGTTGATCGAAGAAAATCACAGACTCCTTACGAAGATGAGAATAAATGTCGACAGATTGCTCAAGAGATTGGTCTTCCGTTTCAAAAAGTTCGTGTATACTTTAAGAGAATTGAAGATAGTTTTGAAGTAAAAAGCAAAGAGGTTAACGTAGCTAAGCAGAAGGAAAGACGTCGCAAAGTTGCCGAAAGATCGAAAAATTTTGCGGGGGTCGTTTCTTCTGCCAAGGGAGAACCTTCTTTCAAGAGAAAGAAAAAAGAAAATATGGTTCACAAAGTGTTAAGGAAAACACAGAATGAATCTGAAGGGAGTCTCGGTAATAATTCTGGACGTAAAAGTAATCGTGTAAAGTTCAAGCAAAAGGAAATGGAAAAAATTCATGGTATTGCTGAAGAGGAGAACCTGCCAGTTATCAATGATGAAGGTATGGAATTTATTATATATTTATCTTTAGTTGATCAATTAATTGTTATCTACAATTCGTCAAATATCATTAGAGAGGTTTGAGACTCAATATGAGCAATACTCCCAGCGACAACGTCCAATCTGGAGTAAAGAAGAAGATGAATTGCTTTTCTACTCTTATATTATTATCAAACATCGTTCAACCAAATTTAGGTTCTTTTGGAGTCCTGTTACCAAAGTTTTACCACACAAATCCAGAGAGATGTGCCGGCGTAGATTTAATGTATTGACGAAAAATTCAGCTTTCCAAGCTCGAGTTTCTAATTACTTGTCGTTTTGGAAAGATATTTATACTGATGCGATAAAGAAAGGCGACTTAAAGGAGGAGGAAGAAAAACAAATGAAAGATTTTGATATACTTGGGCAAATGGAATACTTTAAGAGGACTGTGGAAGAAAAGCCAAAGTAATTATCACTTTTAAAGTATTGACTTGGTTTTTAAAAAAAAATTAGGAATTGTAATTAGTAATACATACATTTAAAAAAATTTTTATAGCGTTACACGTCCCAGGCCTATAATTCCTCTTCCTCAAGATGTTATAACATTACAAAAGCACTTTTTTGTAACTTATGCCTCACCAAATAAACATAATCGGGACTTATACTTTGAAGATAAACTTGGTGGATGTTCATTAAGACAAAAGATGAAAAAATTGTATGCGTATTCTCTTACACACAGGATTCCATATAATAATGTCGATTATGCGGTAATGGAGCTTAACAATGAAAAACATATTAAACTTGAATGTATTCAAGCATTGATCAAGGTATCGTCATTTTCCGTTTTACATGCTTCATTTTCATCTATTAAATTTATTAATAAACCTGATTAAATAATAGATGATTCTCATGACACCAGAAGATCAGTATGATCCTACACATGCGTTTTCGATCCTAAATCGTTATGAACCTTATGTCAAAGAGGCAATTGATTTAGTTAAAGAGACAGGTGCTATAGTTAAAGTTAAAGGAGGGAATGATAGAAGAATCCCCGGAAGGGGATTTCACGTTTCTGACAAGTAAATTTTATATCATTTGGATGTTTATTAGATTAATATAATTCAAATTTCACTAACAACCGATTGTATTTAGATTCCTATCGGTTATTTCAGGGAAATTGCCAGATAGAATGTTTTCACAAGCTGTTAATTTTTACAAGAAATTTAAAGAGGCCACGATATTTGATCAATTTGCAAATAGTGGAGATATGGCTTGTATTTTGGATTTATTATCTGCTGGAATGGTAATGAATTTTCCTTTCAATGTGAATTTTTTTTTGATTATACCTAAGAATCAATTAATAATATGCATCATTCATTTTAGGTTGCATTATCATTTGCCAATCCAGATGCAACCATTCTTACAAAGAATATAGTGCCAAGCCATCGTAGTAGAAAAATTGGTTAGCATCAATGGTTAATTTTTTTACTTTATTTTCTCATTAATTAAACTAAAATTATTTGTAGACGTCGTAAATCTTAACTTTGACATTTTGTTGACGCCGGAGATTAACAACTCGAATATATACAGTGAGTCAAGCAATGATGAATCTGACAAAAATAATGAGTCATCTTATGGCATTCGTGGTCAAAAAAGAAAACGCGAAGATAATACGACACGAGAAGAAAGCATCTCGACTTTCAAAAAAGGACGCTTTGACAAAAAGCCTTATATAAACACGCGAAAAGAAGCTTCTAAAGCACTTAAAAAGCTGTTGGAAGATTTAGATCAAGAATTTAAAGGTGACGTAAAAGATGTTTATTATATAATTGAGAATCGTGGGAAAGTTGGTATACCCCTTGTTTCATTGAAGGTAATGATATTTTTTTTTTATATTAAGAGAATGATTATATATATTATATAAATTTAAGTATTTACATTAAAATTAACATTTATATTTAGAATTATCCAAAATTATCGGAAGAGAAGTTACTGCGTTGTGTTAATATACTGGAATTTAATGTTCCAAGTTTAATAATGAAAGTTGGTTATAGTAATAGTCGATATATCTCAGGCATTTACTTGAAAGATTGGTTGGTAAATACGACGCCTACCGTCAAGAGGCCGCCTACAATAGATGATGTTTTCATGGAAGAGAATCCTTCTAATTACAAAGTATGGTCATCAGTTGAATCATTTGGGCCACCAAGAATGTGGTATGATATCAATGGGAACTTTATTGAATCTGTGTTCCGAGGGTGTCTTGAAGCCGTATTGGGATTAATTTTGCAAAAGCCTGGAATATGTGAGGTAAAATGTCATTTATATCTTGCGTGGTATATGGTATATAAAGATCAATTAATAAATTTGATTCAATTTAGGCTAACATTTATCGAAAACTCTCATTGGTTATGTCACGATGTGAAGTTCAAGATGTTTTGGAAGAATTGTTGGATCGTAAAGGTATCAGAAAAAAATCATATATTCAACCTTCCAAAGTTACATTGTTTTCAAAACCAGCCGAATTTAAGGAATGTGGTAAGTTCAATTTTAAATATTGATGATATCTTAAGAACGATGATGATTGATTAATCCATTCATTCTCTTTATAGACATCAATTCTCTTGATTCCAATAAGATCACTTATTATTGGACAAATCAAAACTATTACTTAAAATGCGTTCCTGAAATCATTAATTAATTTGAGCATAGCATGTTAAAATTATTTAGCAATAATAACTAAAATATAAATTATAAAATTGTTTCATACGAGATTGACAAATCATTATATCGATAAACCGTCATCTTTAATGGTTAATAACTTTCGTTAGGCTTGTTTCGTATCCTTGTTGTTATCATTGTTGGAAGTGATATTGAGCAATTATCATAGGAAGAACTTTAATGTCTTCCATTTTTGATAAATAAATAATATCTATAAATATCTATTGTATCATACGATTTCAATTCTCCTGAGCTTGTTAGTAATCATTAATCATTAATATAACAAAATGTAAATGATAAAATTGTTTCATAGAGACTGACAAATCATTATATCTCTAATGATTAATAACTTTTCGTTAGGCTTGTTTCGTATCCTTGTTGTTATCATTGTTGGAAGTGATATTGAGCAATTATCATAGGAAGAACTTTAATGTCTTCCATTTTTGATAAATAAATAGTATCTATAAATATCTATTGTATCATACTTGTTAGTAATCATTAATTATTAATATAACAAAATGTAAATGATGACAAATCATTATATCTCTAATGATTAATAACTTTTCGTTAGAAACCAATTATCATAGGAAGATCTTAAAATTGTATGCTCCGTTATGGTTAAAGGCTATTTAAACAAATATAAAATGTTCAAAAAAATTCTTTTCAGTTATATTCTACCACTTTAACTCTCCCCTCAATAATGAACCAAATTGTATTATTTGGTGATTCTCTTACCGAGGTTTCTTTTTTTCTTTTTCTTTTGTGTAAAAAAAAAAATCTCATGATTTTTAGTATTAAACATAATAAATAAAAATTTGTTTATAAATATGATTTAGTTTAGCCATCATACGGATAATAAAGGATGGGGTGCCGCACTTCAGAATTTATATGTCAGAAAATTGGATGTTTTAAATAGAGGCTTTGCAGGTAATTTTCATCTAATTCATAAATCGAAATCTCATTCCTTTAGATTTTAAATACAAAATTCATTTATTATTTCATTTAGGTTATAACACCGAACAGGGCAAACTGTTACTGTCTCATATATTGCCGAAGAAAAACCATTCGATAAAAAGCCCAAAAATATATTTATTAACTATATTTTTTGGAGCGAATGATGCAGCCATTCCACCATCAAATCATTTTGTTCCCCTTGATAAATATAAGGAAAATCTTAAACAACTGATCAAAACCGTTAAAGATTCCGATTCACCTTATTATTCTCCTGATACAAGAATTTTACTTATATCTCCTCCTCCATTATATGAAGAAGATTGGGAGAAATATCAAAAATTAATAGACCGGAAAATACCTAGGAGATTAGAAAATACTGCTAAATATGCTCAAACTTGTGTTGATTTAGCTACCGAACTAAATATTCCCGTTTTAAATGCATGGAAATTGTTTATGGATAAAGTAACCTCATCGACTGAAAATAATCACGCCTTAAGTGAGTTCTTCGTTGATGGTTTACATCTATCCGATCTAGGAAATGAAGTAAGTAAAAGTATTTTCAAAAATAATTTTATATTCGTGTATCTTGTTATTAAAATATTAAAATTTATTTTCAGACTTTATTTCATGGGTTGTTGGATACGATTCGAATGAACTGGCCGGAATTGGATCCCGAGAATTTGAAAAGTATTACACCTTCATGGGAGGATTTGGTTTACAATGATCCTAAAGTATTCGATTCTTTTGAATCGAATATCATCAATCAATTCGAATAAATAATAAAAAAAAAAAAAAAATTTAATTAATCTTGACATCTGATTACAAAGATCATAATGTTCATATTTTTAAAAAAATAAAAAAAAAATTGGTTTTCCTAATGAATCAATCCATAATGATGATGTCAAAGTGGATCATGGCGCAGTAACTTGTGTCGCTGTATAAATTGACGTGCTAAATTCTCACCCTTTCTGTTTGATCAAATTCTTGTTATAAATCATGTCAAACCATCGTTTATTAACTGCCGAAAATTGGAATGAAAAATTATCTTTGAATGGAAATTCGTTTCCTATAGATCCTGCTATCAAAGAAATTTTTAAAGGTGACGATCAAAGCCTCGATGATTTTGTACAATGGATTAAAAAAGAAAGTGAAATTCATCAACCGATTTTTTCTTGTGATTCATCACCAATTTTCATATCCTTTGGAAATTTACAAAGATGTTATGATGATTATGAACGTATGATCACATGAATCCTTAATGTATTAATGTATTACGTGACTAAGGATTATATTTCGAAAAAACGAAAACGAAAAAAAATCACGGATCAAACCTCAAAAGGGGAAAATGAGGCAACGATAAGTAAGTGGTTTTTTTTTTCTTGAGCATGATTTCATATTACAGTAAATACTATACGAATGTGAAATTAAAACCAATCTAAAAAGTAGATAATGTTGTTGACACCACCTCGAAAGAATCAAATGAGGATCACGTGAAATGGTCTTTAGATCGTGAATTACTTCAAACCTTAAAAAGTTCACTTGAACAAATTACAAAATTTGGCAAAGACTCCGATATCAAAGAATTTTTGTCCAAATTCAATAATTTGATTCGACTTCCACACGTTCAGGCACGTATCCCTTTTTTTTTTAAAAAAAAAAAATCGAAATCGAAAACGTTAAGATTTAAAAACCTATCGATCTTTATCATCGTTATAGCTTCACAAATATTTTGAAGAATTAAAGATTTCTCAGATCGATGACAAAATTTTAGAAATTTTGTGTAACGGCATAGTACAATGTGAGGATATCACGTATCAGAACTATGTTGTCTTCTTCAGGTTTACATTCTTGGAAAAAGTACATAATTGATTTATCTAAATTTCATGATTTTTTTTTTTTTTTTTTTTTTTTATACATTTAAGACAACTAATAATTTTCATTTGTAGGTACGTTTAATCACATCGAAACCTTCACGTGGATTGTTATCTATCCTTTCAAAAATTGCAAAGGTAAAGAGCAAACCAATTATTTATGGACTGTTATTACCCTTAATCCAAGAACCTCGAGAGATAGCCCGACCCCAATTGGAAGTTATTACTCGAATAATTAATGGAGGATTGAGTGAAGATTCCATCGTATCTTTAATAACGTAAGATATACTAGTAATTTTTCAAGTTTACGATAATTAACTCATTATGTTTTATACGAAAAAAAAAAAAATGTCTTCTAGAGAATTATCCTCTGATGTCCAAATGCTTAGTGAGCTTAATGGTGAAACTCGTCCTAAACATCTTGAAAATTGGGAAGATTCAATGATTGAAATCTTATTTTCGATCTTTAGTCAAAAATTTCGAATTGAAGATCCAAATATTTTTAAGAGATTCTTATATCATTTAAAAGTTAACATTGAACTTCAACCTAATAATCAGAAATTAGGTCAGATATTATTATTACTTGTCACTAAACATTCTGAATGTATTATGGATCATTTAGAAGAAGTCAAAGTTGCCGCAGAAAAGTCAACGGCATTTATGAAAAAGAGCGTTCTTGGAAAGATAGATTCATTAATAAAGAGGCGCGTATCCCAAAAGTAACGGAAAAGAACTCGGATAGATTCATTTCTATTCCATTTGATCAAGTTTTATAAAACTTTGCTTATGATTTCATAATCATAGTCTTTAGCTTCTTCGGGTAATAAAACTTTACTTGGTGAAATTTCATCTATTTGATAACTATAAGAGAAAATAAAAAAGAAAAAATTATTCCTTTTTTTTTTTCCAAGAACACGGATAATACATTTTAAAATAAAATAAATACCCAAGGTGATTCAAATAAAAATCAATTGCGCTTTTATTAATTTTATTTTCTTTTGTATCTTTAAATATATATATGTGAAAAAAAAAAAGATATAAAAGTTTGGTTATCGAGTAAACAGCCTTTAAAGATTATATACATACCAATTGCGGTTAGTATAAGTTTCTTCATTTTCCAATGCCTTCCGATTTCTTCCAATGTTCTCATTAAAAATGTGCCTAGGCCTTTGTTTCTCGCAATTTCAAATAATTGAATTTCATAACTATTGTGTAAAAAAACCACCCATTTAGCCAATGATTCAAAATAATCTCAAGAAATTGAATACGTACCAGTAGATAACTTCAATTTCTTCATCATCATCTGACATAGTTTCTTCCCAACTGAATTGAAACATAACAAATCCAATTGGCTTGCCATTATTTAATGCGATCAAATATCTACAATCTTTATCGCTCATTTCTTTACGTTTCTCTCTTTCATTCCATCCTAAATTTGAATTTTCATAACTTTATAAAGGAGAATGCTTGTCTTTGATTCAATTTTTTAAAAAAAAAGAACGTGTGGTTTTATTTGTCCGTAAACATACGTCTTTTTCATATTTAATTTCAATAATTCAAAAGTCCATTCTCTTAATTCGGTAGATAAATTTTCAAATGAATAATATTCAATTTCTATAATCATGCTTTAAAAAAAAAAATTAAACAAGACAAATAAATAAACTTATAAGGAATAATATGTTTAAAAAAAAAATATATTATTTACTCAGTGTTATGATATTTAATTGAAGAGCCGAGGAAATCAACAATTTTAATTGCCTTCGATTAGTTTAAATATGATATTGTCGCGTGTGTAAAATGCAAACATTGATAACCATTCATTTTTTTAATTTTTAAATAACCATTTGGGCACAAAAGTTTGTTAATGAAAAACACACCTCATTCGCTATTTTAACGAGGTTTTGAGTATTCGTTTGAGGATTCATATTTATTTGAGTGTTAGATGTGAAGATACGGAATCTTACCATTTTATAGAATTATTTCAACTAAGCCACTAACCAAATAAGGTCAAAACACGGTTTTTCAATATAAAAATATAAATGTTTTAGGGATTTTTTTTTTTTTTTTAAAATTATCCCAAAATAAGTTTACAGGACGGTGAAAAGGGCAATGATTCAGAATTCACGTTCGTAGAATCTTTTGTAATTATTTTTTT